GATTTCATATCCCCATGTCCCGAGTACTGATATAGTAACTACAATATAAGGAAAATGATGAGTAAGATTTACTTTTAGAGAAAAACAATACATAGAATAACTAATGGCTTTTCATCAAAAAATAACAGTACAAAGATACTTTTTATTGTCCGAGAAGTAATAGTAAATATAAATTTGGCAAGAAACAAACAAGTTTTCTTGAATATGTATTAAAAAAATTTTTAAACAAACAAAGTGAACTAAGTGATTCCAATCTCAACTAGATTCCAAACTCAACTGCAACATATATATACGTGTGTTCTTATTTTGTAAATTTAATTCATTTGTTTATAACACCTGACGAAGAAGGAAGTGTCCTTCGAAACGTTGTAATAAAAATAAAATAAAAAAAGAAGAGTAAAATTAATAGAACATTTTATAAAATAACTTCGCAATAACAACATGAAAAAGATTCGCCAATTAGATAATTTCTTCGTTAATTAATAAAAAAAATCTTAATACGAAATTAGTGAAACATTAATATTTTATTTTTAGTAGACACATTTATTAAGAATAAATGAATCTTTCATGCTTTTTTCAATATATATTGACTAGATGAACTTTGTAATAAACATATAGCTTTTTTTTTAATTTCTGTTTCGCGTGTAATGATTCAATCAGATTCTTTTTCCATATCAGCAAAAATGAGGAATAAGAAAAAACAGTCAAAATCTGTATTAATATACTAATGATTATGACAAAAAAGTTACAGTAGTATTATTAATGTATATTGTCTTATTTTATTCCATTTTTCATGTGACATATAATACAATGAATATGTACATGGTCATATAATATGAATGTGAGGTAGAAATATGGATATAATTATTAAAATAATGACAATAAATCAATGAAGTATGGCCTGTTTTGCTGTTATATAACTCATCCAAAAAGGTATCTTGCAAAATAGTACAAATTCAAAAATCACTCATCATTACAAAAACAAACTTTGCTGATAACGTTGTTAACTTGCTCATCAATAAAAATATATATTCGAACAAAAAAAAATGAACGATAATCATATCAAGACAAAAAAACAGTTGAAATAAGTTAAAGAAAATAAATATCACTGATGGAGACATTTGAGAACAATTGAATATGACTATATGAACAGTAATTGTTCGATTTTTATAGGAAGATATATTGTTATTCGATTGTCGATGTCATTAGGGAGACAATATAGATGGTGCGCCATCCACATTACCGTTACGTACTTATATCTAACAGTTTCATAGATCTTATCGAGTAATCTTTAGATGACTAGTTGTCGTTAAAGTTCAATTTATAGTCTTCTTTAGGTTCTCATTTCTTTTATTATTTATCATATTTGTTTTTCGAAAAAAATCACAGTGAATTAAATTTTTTATTTACAATATGATTTTTACTGCTAATGAAAAATATTTCAATGATGATTAAAAGATCTAATAATATCTGTTCTTGATTGACTCAGAGACTTCTTCAGAGAATCTACAAATAGATGTAATTGAATGACTCAATACCTTACTGTAGTATGTCCAATTCAGTTGTCTATCGTATTCCCTTGATTATATAATTGATGTGAACAACATTACATTTATCTATTTTGTTATTAGGTTGTTTTTTTTTGAGTCTGTATCTAATGAGCAAATGTGAAAGGTGAATAACATCATACTCATGATAGAAAAGGAAGAGACATCGAAATCATACCATTTGAATGTTCTCTTTTATTTTGACGTAATTAACCGTATCTCTCCTTCATCTATGTCATTAAGGTAAACGTCTATAAGCACACATATATGTTCCATCAAATTATAATATGTCGGTCAACATTATTCATAAGCTTCATATCATTATGGTGTTGTGATTTTGATGTTGTTTATTTCATTGATAAAATATTTTATATAAATTGTGCAATAACAAAGTATCTAGACATGTATAAAAAGAACGATCGATTGATAGCAACTTTATTGATCAGTGAAAATAACATTCAGACGAAAAGGTGAACGATACGCATACTATAACATCAAATAACGTAAGTATGATCTTTTTGATTACTTTCATTTTATATTTAAAACTGAAAGAATTGTAAAGGAAATAAATATTGTTAGTCAAAGTATTCGAGAATAATTATTTATTACTATTTGAAAATTACTAGTTTTATTTTTATAGGAAAATCGATTTTTATTTATAACTTTCTTCAGTTTTTCGTTTCATTTTGGTTTCGACATCCCTTTTTCTATTGTTTTTTTTATTCAACAGCAACTATCACTAATTGTCTTCGTTAGAAATTGTCACTTTCATTAGCTACACACAAAAACGTTGAAGCTAAGAACGACAAATAGAATTAAGTTATAAATTCTAAATCAAAGTGATACACAGGATAACCTTGTAAGACAGTTTTTGGTGAAAATAAATTAGTTTGTTATCAAGATATGATAAGAACAAAACAAACTGAAAAACAGTGATGCTAATCACATAGAAATATATTGTGCTCGTTTTTTCGAAAATTAAAGTAGTAATAGAACAGATCTTTATAGAATTTTTATCTACATTGTGATTTCTATCTATCAGAAAATGATTAGATAGAGAATGAGAGTAATAATCGAGAGAACTGGTTTGTAAAACTTTCAAATTTTGTCTCAAAAAAGAAGAAAGAAATGAATAACTGACTAATTTACAATGAGAAAATATCTTAAGGCATAAATCAAAAATATCAATATAAGATTTTAGTTTGACTAATTAGATTTGATTTCGTGTACAAAGCGATATTGTCTGATTAGAAAAATCATTACGTTTTAGACTCTCTATACTGATTATATAAAACATTTCTGTGATCATCAAAAACCATAGAAAAATCTAATAAAGACTATTTCAACCTTTATTGAGAAATATCCTCAAAGGATATGCAAACAGATATAGTCGAATTCACCCAAAACTCATTAATATTTCAACATTTTGTCTCTATAAAGTCTTTTTTATTAACCTTTATTCCCAATCCTGAAAGAATGAGTCTTCATGACGGAAACTGCTGGTAGGGGAGGGAAGTTTCCGTTACCGCCCAGTTACGTTACCTCGTAACTGGCAACGGACCGTTTACCCGTTTTGAGGTAACGGAAAATTTACCACTTTATGAAGCAAAGGATATTTCTTGAAAATATTGAAATTTCAAAAGGTTTCACGAAAGGTTTTCGGGGTCGAGGAATCCGAATCACAAGACCCTAAAGTTCTAAACTGCGATACTACTAGGCACTCCTTATGTCCGATATCGGAATACTATGAAAGAACATCTAGGTCCTTTATTCGACACCTATCTGAGACCAGTAACGTCTTATATTATGGTACTATTTGAGACTCTTTAGATCTTATATTAGAGTCTTACTTGGAACCCCTTAGATCCTATATTGGACTACTACCGGGACCCCTTAGGTCCTATATTAGCGTACTATCTGGAACTCCTTAGGTCATATATAGGGGTGGCACTTTAACTTTAAAAAAATTAAAGTTAAAGTACTTGTACCATCGGTAACAAACGGTCATGCCCAATTTTGGATCCTCATCCGCCTACCCAAGCGGAGGTACTTGGGTCCGGATATGGCTATCCTAGGAGGAATACTCGGGCCCTCATATGGCTATTCTACGAGGAGTACTAGGATCCTCATATCGCTACCCTAGTGGGGTGTGGTTATGGCTGTGGGTGTCAGTGTACGTGTGGGTATTTCCATCATTCTCACCCACACCCACACCTAATTAATAATTTGAATCTAAAATCAATATTTATTGGAATATTTTCTGTTTCTTTTGTTCTTTAATGTGAATTAACGAAAAAAAATTGTTTGTAAAAGTTGCTTATTACATTAGTTTTCTTTGAATAAGAAGTATCATAGCTCTAGTCGATTTATTTGTTGATCAATCGATATGAGTAATAGAATAAAACAAAGGAAAAATTTCTGATATAACACCGTCACATATTCTCTGTCACTTACCATATATAATACAGGTAAATACAGTCGTGACTAAGATTATATGACATGCACATAAATAACGACATTAATCGTTATACTTCATTGAGCTCGAAACTCAGTTTTCGATAATACCTGTCCGTATAAATAGCTTTGATTATTTAACACAAATATTCATATTTCGGTTTTCAACAACATCGGAATAATAACAAGTAAGTCTTCATATTTATGTTTCTTTAGTGAGTATATAGATTAGTGAATGTTTAACAAGTTTTTATAAATAATATATATATGTCATTATAAATTAGGCACCATTATTTATTTATTTTTTGTCAGTGATTAGTTGCAATAAACTATCTCGATAGTTGTGTACACGTTCATTTTACAAAGGTTTTGTAAACATGCTCATATTCCTTGTTAATATATTTTATGCAAGTTGAAATTCCCCATACGAAGACAATGAATATCATGCCTTTATATTCATATTGTCTCTCTAAAATTCCTGTAATATAATCCATAAAATAACCCATATTTATTTCATATTATCTCATCTTCTTATGTCGGTAGACATTAAAATCTTTTAGAATTTTTTAATACAGCTTTTCCAATCAATAAAATTATAATGATCTTCGTCTGCTTCTATAATAAATTATCCTTTATATTATAAATATGGTTTAGAAAGCTCTCATTTACTGAGATTCATCATAAAAGTCATATTCTCAAAACTTTTTTTCTATAATTTTGTTTCCTCACATATTGGTTCTGCTTTCGAATCGTATTTAGACTTATCATAGTCTGAAGAATTCTAAAAAAAAACAGGCTCATTCAGAAAGATATTCGACATCAATGAAAGCATGTTTTGTACAGATGCAAAATCGTTAAAAGGTTAATACTATTTATTGCTTTCAATTTATCAGTTTCGAATCAATATAAATTTGTGTAAACAGAAAACGTTCTAGAATTAATCGAATCATAAATTTATATATTGCGATCTTTTTTTTTTGTCATTTGTTTTAGAAGGTAATGCTGCATTGGAAACTCGTACTTACTACAATAATCTTCTCAATATTTTTTATTCCATCAAATATAAATGCTCAAAATGAAAAAAATGAACTTATTGAAAAATTGATAAAGGAAGCACGTGAACTCAATTTGAAAATTGATGAATCAAACATAGTTACACGATCAATTATTGGTGATGGTGATGGTGATGGTGATGTTGCTGCTGTACCATTAATTACTGATTCCATATTGAATGTGACGAGTGAAGCTATTAAAAAAGGTGAAGTTTATACTTCATTTCAATGTATGAAAACAAAAAACTTCAATCGATGTTATCGTGTGCGAGTTACAGGTGTTCTCGAAACAAAAAAAGGATTGGATGTATCTCTCATAGATAAAGATAATAGAGTAATTGCAAATTCTGAAATGGTGCCTAGAGGAGGAAAGCAAATTGCATGCGGATTGACTATTATAATTGGTGGACCTGTCCGTGTCTTTGTTGATGGCGTATATATTGGAACATATGACATTGTTATCATGTGTATTCATTAGACATCAAACTACTATTTTCAATTAATCATAACGCAAAAAGTGAAGATTTTATTTAAAATATCTTTTTCGCTAACTTTTTATTTCATATTTAATCTAGAAAAATCTGTATATTGATAAATAAAATTCAGTATGCTTTTTATATAGAATTTCTTTCTATATAATGAAAACAGATTTCAATCTGATTATGAATATGAGTGTAAATGTTCAAATATGATCAATTATTAGTGTTTTAATTTGTTTCTAGAAATCAATAGTTGTTGTTATTGTTTGTTGAGTATTATCATTCTTTTGATGGAAATTAATTTCGAAATAATATTGCTTGATCAATATCAATCATTTTTGGTATTATTCAGAAAGAAAACATACTTTTACTATTCTTCTATTGTTCGATTTATGATTCAATAGAAGATTTTTTTATTATTTTTGATGGATTTAGCTTAATAGTTTACGTTATTTTTAAAAATATTCTATTTATCATATGACTATATTGATTCATAGGTAATATGTATATCAATCAAAATATAAAAAGGAAACAAAAGTAAATATGCAAAATAAGTAAAATTCTACAAAAAATATTTTTCTTATAGAAATTTTAATTTAATAGAATATCTGATTAATGAAAATCATAGTTGACATATTATGCAATACTCTATATAGAAATCAAAATCAAACGAAGCTTTATAGGTTTATATAGGATTCGCCGGAAAACTGACTAATATACAAAAGAATATCGATAGAAAAAGTTTCCAATTTCAGTTTTGATTGTCTTGCTTGAAAACTCATAAAAATTTACTATGAAAACTAAAAGATTAACTTATTTTAATTTATCTATAAGAAATAGAAATTTTATATGAATTTTTCTAAGAAAAGAAAATGTGATCATTTTTATTTACTAAGATTGAGTAATATTATTGTTAATTTGATTGAACAATTATATTTCATGATTCAATGATAGACGAGTAGGCACGAATGAATATCAAGATTCACTTCATTTAATCTCTATATGAAGCAACGAAAAAAATTATAAAGTTATTTGCTGACTTATAATGTTTTGAGATAATCATAAGTACATATTTACATATACAGGGTCGGAAAGAATATTATTCAAGGGGGGGGGGGGGTAACGATATAATCCCGAATAGGAGGTATGATAAATTTTATACCAAATGAAAGCCCGTGAAAAATGGAGTTTATTGATGTTAAATAGTAAGGGTTATGTAAACCTTTTAATATCGAACTTAAGAAACTTTCAGAAATTTTATACATTTTTGGGAGTAGAAAAGGAAAGTGCTAGTAATTCAAAAA